ATTTTTAGTAGAGATGGGTTTCACCATGTTGGTCAGGCTGGTCTCAAACTCCTAACCTTGTAATCTGCCCGCCTTGGGATCCCAAAGTGCTGGGATTACAGGCATGAGCCACTGTGCCTGACCAAGAACAACTTTTTCTTAATCTAATTTTTTTGCAGGAGAGGAATGTTTGCAAATTTCCAAGTCAGAACTAGAAATCCCAGTGCAGCAATGCCTGTGATGCACACAAGGTGGCGCCGGAGGACATAGCATCTTTCAGAGCTCCCTGGTACTGATTTTTTTTCAAATGAGAAAGGCGTTTAATGCTGCTTCATCTTCTGGTTTTTCATCAATGTGGAGGCCCACCCTATAGTTTTAGCAATTCAGTGGTGCTTGAAGGAGAATTTCCCCCTCCTCGTTTTCAAATATCTATTTAATCTGATTTCTTTTCCCTGCTGCCTCATAGATCCACCCATGAGCCAAAATAATCTTCTTTGAAATAAAAATATGAACAGAGCCTACCAGAACACTTGGAAAAAAGATTTTGAGTAGGTGTGTGTGTTTCCTCTTTGAGGCTGTAATTAGTGAGATGGAAATAATCAATCTCCCCCATAGGTTCTGTGTGTGTGTGTGTGTGTGTGTGTGTGTATTTTTTCTTTGGTGTTTTGAAAGGCCTTAACATGGCTGACTCATCTAAAACCACCTTTGAGCCCTAATAAAGTCTATCAAGGACCACTTATCTTCATACCACACTCACATATTTTTGGATCCAGGAAGGATTACAGAGTCATTTTAGACAGTCAGCTGGTATAGAAAAGCCAGCAGAAGGGAGAGATATTGCAAAATCCCACAGGGGCCCCAGCTTGAGCCAGGGCCAGCGAGTATCATGTCAGCAGCTGGGGCAGGAGGGAGATGATCTCCATCAACAAGCCTGCTCCCTCTTGGGACGATGCCTCCCAGGGGTAACTGAGGTCCAACCCAGTTATAGCTATTCTTCCTGCTTTCCTCATGTTTCTTCTCTGCTTCTAACTTAGGGTTGCCCAGCCAACACTTTCTCTTGCTCCTTTTCCCATCCTGATTCCCCATTCTCAACTAGAAGAGTAGAAAAGACAATTCCAAAGAAAAGAAGTTGGCTGGGGGTGGTGGCTCACGCCTGTAATCCCAGCACTTTGGGAGGCCAAAGCAGGCAGATCACGAGGTCAGGATTCGAGACCAGCATGACCAACATGGTGAAACCCCATCTCTATTAAAAATACAAAAATTAGCTGGGTGTGGTGGCGCACACCTGTAATCCCAGCTACTCAGGAGGCTGAGGCAGGAGAATCACTTGAACTCTGGAGGCGGAGGTTGCAGTGAGCCGAGATCATGCCACAGCACTTCAGCCTGGGCGACACAGTAAGACTGTGTCTCAAAAAAAAAAAAAAGAAAGAAGTCATAAGCCATAAATCTTTCCTTCCTATATAAATGAATGTCTTATGTGTGTATTTGTGTGTTGTCTAGACTAGATATGGATTCTCTGGCCTCCTAGCTTCCAACCTAAAGTTCTTTTGGCCATTTTCTTTGTTTTGCTGATCTGTTCTAAAAATCCCTACTAAATGGTATTATTTCCAGAGGGGGTTATATAAATATTAATTCATCAGCTGCCTCATCATGGTGCAGTGGCAGCCACGCAGTCCTATGACTAATTAATCACTGTTGCTAAAATATTAAATAACTATTCATTATGCAGTCTAAAGACTTTAAGCCCTAGATCTGTATTGCTTTCCTCACTTAGGGTGAAGGACAAGAGTTCCTGGGCACCTTGACTCCTGATGTTGAAATATCATTAAGAGTAGAAGAAATAAGATTAAGAGTAGAAGAAATTTTATCTGAGCTATTTAAGATGGCTAGAATCCAGAATCTGAGCATTTAAAAATTGTGATGGGCTGGTCATAGTGGCTCATGCCTGTAATCCCAGTGCTTTGGGAGGCCAAAGTGTGAAGATCACTTGAGGCTAGGAGTTGGAGAACAGCCTAGGCAACATAGGGAGAGTCCATCTCTACAAAAAAAAATTTTTTTTAATTAAAAAATACCAGCTTGGCCAACATGGCGAAACCCCATCTCTACTAAAAACAGAAAAGAAATTAGCTGGGCGTCCGCGCCTGTAGTTCCAGCTACTCCGGAGGATGAGGCAGAAGAATTGCTTGAACCTGGGAGCCGGAGGTTGCAGTGAGCCAAGATCGTGTCACTGCACTCCAGCCTAGGTGACAGAGCAAGACTCCGTTTCCAAAAAAAAAAAAAAAAAAAGTTGTCATTAGACTTGGAAAAGGGCATGAAGGAGTTTCCCTATAGCTAAGGAGGCTGGAGCTGTAAAGGCAGACAGACACCTGGGTTTACATCTGAGCTTTGCTGTTTACTGGCTTTGTGACATTGAGCAAAGTATCTAACTGAGCACTGGTTTCCCAGCTGAAACCAGCTGTTATTAGGAATAATAATGCTCCTCTCCCCTTGTCAGGTAGTTGGGAGGATTTGATGAAATGGTCATTCCATTACACTTGCCAGTTTTATTGTGTCCATGGTTCTGATCATCTCTGAACTGCTGGACTTACTGTTTTCTTTTTCCTCTTCTTTTTTTTTTTTTTTT